CCTGCAGGGCCTGGAGGATGATGGTGTCCACCTCGAGCGGCCTGCCCGAGGCGAGCTGTCTGTCGACGTTGACGCTGTGGTACTTGGAGCGGTTGACCGTGATGTTGAGCGTCATGCCCGGGAACCGGGTCTCGAAGGCACGCTTGAGGCCGTCTTGTTGGGTGACTTCGTCGCCGCCGTGCCAGCATGTTACGATGCCGCCTTCAGCTAGGGCGGCTTGGTAGATTTCGTCGATGGTGCGGTTCTCGTTGACTTGTGGGGTGTTGAAGCCGAGAGAGATGTCAGCCGCGGAGACTTGCTGGGCCAGGAGAGCACACAGCAAAGGGAGTGAAAGACGCATCTTGAAATGAAGGGGTGATTGATGTGAAAGCAGTTGATGAGATGGTGCATTGTGACTTGATGTTCGTCCGATGTCAGTAAACTTATACTCACGAGACGATGATCGTTATCAATACACATGATGGACTAAAGGCTGAGTACTTGGCGAACGCGTAATGGTCGAGCTTAGCACACGAAGGCTATGGCTTGGCGAATGTAAATTTAGTGAAGCTGCCGTTCGTCCTTGGATCTCATCAGGCCATTGACAAGGTCGACGTCGACTTTGTTCCTCTACGTTTCCATGATCGGCTAGAGGCTACTCGACTACTCGGATAAAGTTGCTGACACTAATAACGGTTATAAGCTTATGGCCGGAAATCGACTGTAGCATAAACAACTACGCCTGTAGTAGATCATCCGATTAATTAAGCTTAATCACTAGACTACCTACATCTGGTCCCTCACAACTGTAACGGCGCGCGGGTCTTGACTCAGGTTGGGAACAGTTGCATAGAACCCGAAAACGGTAACAAGTCGCCGTAAATCAGAGTTTACAAGCCCCTTGAGCACTGCCTCCGTTGACATAGTCATCGGGCGTCTCTAATCACGACTAGTATACCGTCGGCCAATGAGAGGGTTTATTCATTCTCAAACAGGCTAATTCCCCAAGGACGATGCTCGCTACATTCTTACATTGTGAGGCGGCTTACTGAGCAAGTCGTTACAACAAGGTTTGGTAACGGCTATGATATCTACCGGACGCTGAACCTCTCGGTCGGCTCGGCCGAATGCATAGCACCTTTCTCACGGAAACCGATTCCAACATCGGACTTACAATATGTACGGTTACGGTGAAGCAAAACAGTCGTAATGTGTTGACTGTGCTTGAGGTAGACGGAAGGCTTGGCGGCGAACACCCCAGCCACCTCATGGCAGCTCGGCTACATGGTAACTGTCGAAACATGCTAGAATTCCCAAACTTCTCGTCCGGTATCTCAAATCGTGGCTCAATTAGCCTGGCCAGACTGTTACTGTATCAATCTACCCCACGCATATGTGCTAAGCGGAGAATGCTCAACGTACGTCTCCGGTGTCTCCTATCATCGCTGTAAAGTTAAAAGAACGAAAATGCTGAACAGCAATGGTTTGTAGACATATATTTGCGTCATACGATGAAGGTTCAGGAAGGTCAAGTAAGAAAGCTCGATGAGCAACCCCACGCCGGGAGCTGTGGCGGCACATCTGACAGTTGGGATGGCATTGCTCAAGGGCAGAACGTGTCGATCCCGGAAATAAGCACAGTAGGGCGGCAACGCAAAATTGGGGACGTTGGATGCTCGAAAGTGATAGAAGAAGGCTGAGCCTGTATTGTTAGGTAGAGTATCGGGATCGAGGAATGCATGGGGTTGAGGATCCAAAGTTAACATTTGGTCCGTCAACAATCAGCAACGCGCGCGTCTTCCGTGACCTCTTCTGGGCAACTTGATCTTCTATCGCAACATAGCCGTTGCCTACGACTTTGTTGCTCAAGCCTATTCTTTGTTGGTCGCTGCGTGTTCATCAGATAATTGAGGACAGCTACAAACATAACGAATGCTTTAAGAAGTGCAGCAGTAAAAACATGCCGCCTCGGCTATGGCATCAATGTATCTTTACGTCTATGAGGGCAATGTTTTCTTGTCTTCCATAACATCTACTGTTACTTTCTTACGTTCATTCATGGTACACCTATTGGGTAGCTAGTTGAGATCAAGAGATTCATAGCAGAAGAAAACGTACCGAGCTAGGCACCTGACGCATTCTCCATACGTATTCGGGTTCCGATTATTCCGCTGCAGTTGATGTGTGATGCAAGGGAAGGGTTCAATTTCTCCTGAGATTAGGCTCGAAGTCGGGGCAATTTATTTTGGCAACAAACTATTTGAGAGGTAAGAGTTGCAGTTACGGACATGGCCAAACTTTCGGCAAATTCAACAAGTATAGTGTAACCGGCAACGGGGCAGCAGTGGATGCCATAACGTACGCTCCGCCAGCATAGGGGAGGGTTTATGGTCCTTTGGGCCTTGGATCCGAGCCGGTGATCACGGCCCCCGGCCCCAGTTGCATGTGTTAGTCAATGTTGCTTCGTAAGATAGTAACACCGACCTTTATATATCGTGAGCGCATCTCATGTACAATTTTTTCCTAATACGGCATAGCGACGCATTGGTGGAAATGATTTTCTTAACCGTGATTGCTACTATCTACGGTCTCAATACTGGATGCCGGTATCTTGAAGGGAAACTCTTGAGAGGAAGGCTGGAATTACCATCGAATGCTTTTCGATGATCGCACTCATTTTGAGCGTGTCCTTCTTTGATATAAATAGTCATCATACAACCCAACTAGATAGTGTATGGAATGACACAACCGGCGGCGTCTTCTTACATGAGCTCTTCGACTATTCCCCTAAGCAGACTTATCTTGAGATGTATCTATCAGCCAAGGCTGTGGCCATTGTCTTGGTCACGCTGCAATTCGGAGCAGTTCATGGCCAGCAGCATAAGCCTATGATTCTCGCAGATACCAACCGTGACGGTATCGTGGATGACAGCGATGCCACGGACAGAGCATTCTGGCCCCCTTCTCGCGGCGCCATCTTCCTACCAAACGTCGGCGACTCTCTCAAACGCTGTCCTAATCAGGATCTCCAGGGCAACCCTCTCAGTAATCACGAGCTAGCATCTTGTCACGATGCTTCTGGCCACCCACTCCTTGAGCCAAGCCTGGTTGCTCCCCTGAAATCGATCCCATTGGAAGTTTCAGACGACACTATTGCCCACATCTCCGCCACGCCTGACGCCGCATCTGAAAGGGTTCGTCTCTTTTACGTGAATGATTCGTCCGCCAACCCCGCCGAGACTGCCTCTTGGAGCTTTGTGGATCCTGAATTTACCTTCAATGCAAGCCATGTCCAAGCCGGTATCACTCTCGGGATTGACGGGCGTGAGTTTGTGAAGGATTTTGCAAAATGGGACGGCAAAGTAAGGGTGCATTTGGATGTCCACGCCAATGGCACTGTCATATTCGACGTCGTTGAGCTCAAGGTGGCTCCAGTTCTGACCCATCACCATCTCCAACGTGTCAGCGCCTTTGTCAGTACTGCGACAAACGAGTCTGAACCTGTACAGCTCGGTTTTCTCAGCCGACTTGATGAAGCGCGGAAGGCGGCAGGGATAAAGGAGCCATTATATCTGTTCAATCAGAGTGACGATATTTGGGCCCAGGATTTTGTTGAACCAGCATATGCTAGCATGCCTAGACCTAACGGCCAACCGATCTCGCTCAGAATTATGTTGAGGTCGGCACAGTCAGTTCGTACTGCTGGAAGACACGTCTTTGAGCAGCTCCGCGGGAAAGGCGTTGGTGGTTCCCAGCCTGAGGGGGGACGCGGCGGCTATGGCGCCCGAGAAATCAACGCATACGGCAACCTCGAAACGATCCCACCTTACACGTCCAAGAGTGGAGTCAAATATCCTGCCGGCCGGATTATTTATGGCAATTATTATGACAAGATGCCAGCAGAAGCCACGATTGCCTGCTTGGAAGGCCAAGAGCTTCAGAACCCTCTTTCCTTGAGTCTGGATGGCTACTCATCGGTCACGTTGATGAGTTCGTCCAGTTTCTACCTTCCAACGAGACGGGACTTGGCTTCACGATTGGTATCGCTGACAACACTTCCGCCCTCGACTTGCTCAGAAACACCTCAGCAGCGGCGCAGGGTGGTGTGCGGGCGATTTCTTTCAATGGGTCTGTTGAAGGCTCCTTTTCTATCACGAAAGAGGAGCTGGACATGACAGTCGATGAGCTTCTTGCAAACGAGACATTTCCCGAGGTCAACGCTTATGCGCAGAGACATATTGATGGTAATCTGGGAATCCTGCTCGCTGAGATACCTATCCTTCGGGATCATGTGATTCGCATCCCCTCGCTTTTCAAGGCTCCCAAGGTGTCTTCGCTCTCCTCGTTAACTGAAACGGTAATGGAGGGCGAGTATTTGTTAGTGAGCTTCAGCCCGGCGGCTATCAATGGCGTCGTGTTGGGCAACTACTACGTGAGTCCCAAGACTTGGGGCCCCGTGGTTGAGGGACGAGACATTTTGGAGTTTGCCATCCGGGAGGTATATGCAAAGGCTGGCATGGAGGTCGGGTTTGTGGACGATTTCATGTCGCATCACCACACCTTTGGCGAGGTGCATTGTGGAAGCAACACTTTCAGGGAGACGGACGCAGCGTGGTGGGAGTAGGGATAACACTCTCGTAGTGTGTGGGAGTTAGAGAAGAGGACGGGGAGAACCTGGGAGTCACCGTTCTAACAGCAATCTAGTGGAGAGAGCTATAGCATGTCATGATGTGCTCTGCAGTAATCATATTCCTTTCGTTCCCATCTCGTTCCCTACCAATTCTGCGTGCAGCACTGATGGATAAGGGTGGCTACACGCGGGAATGTGAGGCACGGGAAGCCAGATTAGCCTTATTGCCGCTACTAAGCTACATTTGAGCTTCAATAGGTTTACACAGGCAAAACAAGGTCATGCTATATATAGCAGTGAGCGTTCTCTGCTATCTGCAAATTTCGCGAAAAGTTTCAGGCTGCTCTTCCACGTTACAAAGACAACCATTGTGTCTCAGTGAATTAGAGCATTAGTCTACCAGCGTAGCCAGAGGTAACGAACTGCTACCATCATACAGCTTCAGCGATAACAGCATCCCTGCTATTCGCGGAAGAGAGATCCTCTCATACTCCATGTTCCAGATGCTGCTTTCCCTAGCCAACAAGATAGACTCTAGCAAACTGGCAATCTCCCGACTATCCCACATACCTTCTTTCCTTCGCATGGCATACAGCAGCGAAATGGCCCTTTGCTGCAGGTCCAGCTCACCAGAGAACCCGGCAATGAGGCTCATTCGCGGGATCACATCCGCACCCAGGGTAAAGACCGGATACTGCATCGGCTCGGCCTCGGCATATATGAGCGATTCAGCATCTTCTAAAAGATCCTGGAAAAATTGTCGATCCAGAGGCTGTGAGCTCGGGGCCTCCATGCATTTGATGATGACCGACCAGTCCTTTTGCATGACTGACATTAGCCGCGCCTCCCATAACTGCTGCCTGGTTGTTGATGAGCTTGACTTGAGATGCTCAGTATAAGTTGCAAGCCGACTACTAAAAACATCAAAGAGATGGCGAGCTGCAAGCCATTCCCCGAGCCGCAGGTCGTCATCTCTTAGTGGTGACATGCTCTCTGGCAAATCCAAGAATGAGGTCCAAGATATCGGATTCATCGGAATGCTACCTCGGACATTGTAACGTAAAGCCTTCCCAAAAGCTTGGTCTACAAGGTGGAGATCGTACCGAGCCTCGGTGGTCGAGGAGTACGGCTTGGAAGCATCTTTGTTGCTATTGCCCCGGAAGAAATAAGACAGGTCCGGAATGACTTCGCCTTCTTCCAGTAAGTAGGCAGCATCGCAGCCCAAGCAGGTGAACATGTCAGCAAGATCGCATAACTGATCATAATAGTCCTTGACAGTCTCAGCCAGGCATCTCTGGTGCACTGAAAGAGGTAATCCTGCCTGAGCATCCGTTGCCGCTTTGGACAGGGCAACCATGATGCTAGAGCCGGATCTAAGGTGTTGCAGAGCTTTGTCGTAACTTCCCTGCATGATTTCAAAGCAGATGAATATCAAACAAGAAACGAGCGATGTCCTGATAGTGGTAGACGAAAGCCTTTCCATATCCTGAGTCGTGAACTTCATGGCCTTAGAGAATTGTTGGGTTGCTAGCACATCGTATGTTTGCGCGCCCGCAGCCTGGTCTTCTTCTCTGTAGTCGCTTATGAAGCCTCGATGTGCACATCCCAACGCTATCAGGCCGTGTTTAACTGAGTCGGAATAGTATCCTAGTGGGATGATGTAACTGTGCCATAGCTTCTCTAGAAAAGAGATAGCCCCGAAGCCCGCAACTGTGCATTTGCGTACATGATGGAACATGGCCCTTTCTGTTGGTGTTCCTGAGATGTCCCAGTTGACTGGCGGCGGGATCGCGGATGGTTGCCGACGCAACCTAAGCTGGAGACAACTGCGTCTTCGACAAGCTGCCTGTCCATTGACACAGCATCTCCATGATGTCAATCACTGCAGGATTGGAGAATGTAGCGGAATAAGCTTACTTGCTACATGATAGCTTAGTTCGATCATCGGACATAGTGAGGGTGAGATGAGAACATACTGTGGCTGATGCTTTGAGATGGCTTTAGGGTTGACCTCCCCTGTCTTTTCCGACACCTTCAACATCCTCCGTGGTATGCGACTCAGGCTCGCGGTGCGATGCGGCCTGCCAGGTTGCAATTGGTAAGATTCCAGTCAAAAAGCTTTCAACCGAGATCTCGTAGCTTCAATTGAGTGTAGATGAGCATAACTCTGAGAGCGCGCAGGCGATCACATATGCGAAGACTAGGCTGAAACTTGCAGGTTTCCAACTGAGCGAGGGCCATCACGATTTTGTCTTGGCCCAAGCTGAGAGTCCCACTTCTCGTTCTCATCCCACACTCCCGAAAGGTTTGACGATGCCTGATTCGCTGACTGCGTTTGGGAATGAAAGTGAGGGGAACGCGTTCTAAAAGTGTTTTACAACAAGTCATCATTGCCGCTGGTCAAACCTCTTACGATCAGTGGGATTTACATGAGAGCGGACGGATCATCGATTTTTCTGGTAAGTAAAGTTGTAAATAGTAACAGGGTAAGTGAAATATGAGGGACCTAGAGGACGGTCTTACCAACAACAGAGTTCGGCAAGTGACTGATCATCCATACGTACTCCCCCAATCATGTCATCATTCACAAGCTTGAAACCTCTTCGCTTACTAATTCTAATGTTTCTTGTCTTGAGAATCAGACATTATAAGTAGAGTGGGTTCACAGGATGCGATAACGGCATCATAAAAGCCAAAGCAAGCCTTATTCCCTAGATGTCCGACTACTAGTTCCAGAATAGTCGTTATAAGACTCGAAATGACAATTGCCTCAAAAAGCTAAGCACTTATGGAAGGCCCGTTGCCTTAGTCCCCAAGTTTTGTAGCATGGACCCAAGCTTCAGGGAATGCTGTGCATGGGTAGTTTCTTCGTTTCTGCCAGGAAGAGCAATTATTTACTCGTTCGCAAGTTCATGATATATCAATTGACTCGAAGATAATTAAGGTACTGTATTGACTATCTAAAGGCACTAGGCTTGTAGGCCGGACTTGCCAAAAACCACATACACCGACACCACGTACGTCCACACTATACGGAGTTTGGGAGACAGAGGAATCCCGAAGTAGTCGTATGAAAACTCCGTAGAAACATATTTCCAAAGATCGGCAAGAGCAGAAAGTTATTGTGAAGGCCTATAGTGCTAATTTTATTTGTATTAACCCGTACCGAGTGAAGCACGACTGGCTAAGTGCACTGACCCAAACTCTCTTCTCGTCAACGCAGATCTTCCAGCGCGTTCACAGCACGGAGTAGGCGGACTACGGAGCTGTCCGTTACCGATTTGCCTGACTCGAAGGCATATTAAGTGCCCGTGGGATAGTTCGTATTTTGAATTCGTTACTCATTAACGGGGATAAAGTCTGCTGGACGGATATAAACATGAGGTTCAAGTCCCTGAGAAAGTGAATTGACCGCAGTCCTTCTCGTCACACTTTGCCACCAACTATCTACGATCCTTTCGGTATAGAACTCTCTCAATATGCGTGCCACACTTGTTTTCGCGGCTGCGTCCTTCGCGACTGGAGCTATCGCAGCTAGGTCCATGGGCTACTGCCAAAACTTAGCAGGTGACGGCGGGGACATCGGAAAGACGAGGTTCTGCTGCGACTCGCAGTTCGACTTCCGCTTTTCTGAGGTAAGTTTTACAATGACCGGAACAATCAAAACCTGAGAATGCAAATGCTAACGTGGGCCGGATGAATAGTCTGGCATATGTAACATCCCTGCGGACTCCTGCGGTGGCATCAGCACGTGCTGTGGTACTGGTTTCTACGTCTTCAACACTTGTCCCGACACGTTTCCTTGTGCGAACAGCGCGGTGGACAAGGTTTGTCCCAAGAACTAGTCGTGATTTACAGTAATGGAATAGAAGGACTAAAGATGAAATCTACTTGATGTTGGTCATGTTACGTTGCCATGACTCGCAACTCATTCGTGATGTTGTGAAGACCGACGAGTTCAGCCCATGACGGCTCACCAAGGTGCATGCGGTGCAGTTTCTGAAAGAACATCTCAACAGCACGCTAAAAGAGCATGATCCAATCCAGTGACTAGCCACCTAAGTCAAATCAATAATCTCTGGCTCAGCTTTTCGTTTCGCCCCAGCAACAGGTGGCGGAGGCCGACTTGGCCCAGGAGTCGCAGCTGCACCCATACCGTTCAGGCCTGAGGGCGGGGATCGCGACGGCCATCCCGCATTGCCCGTTGTCGGCGCGAAAGCTCTTTGTCCTGCTGACATTCCTATAGGGACTTGTGCCGGCCCGTTTATCGGTTGGAGACCATTTATTGAGCCATTCATCGATTGAGCACCGCTCACAGGCGGCGGAGCGGACGAGGATCCGGTTGCTGGCCTGTTGTAATGTGACGGCGGCGGGCCGCGGGCAGACCCGGTCATCGGCTGATGTCTGTTCGTGGGTGGTGGAACCCACGCAGGCCCGACTGCTGGCATAATAGTGTGCCCGGGCGGTGCATAACCTGCCGCAGCAGGTCCTGGAGCAGGAACAGGAGCGGGAAAATAAGCCGCAGCCGGAGCCGCAACCGGAGCCGGAGCCGGAGCGGGAATTGGTGCCGGCGGATACGTGATACCACCCCGCCCTGGCACCAGATTCACCGGCCGCTGCCACAATGCTGTCGCAATAGCAGGATAATCCTCACCCAGCAATACTCCTAACTTGGTCTGATCAAAAGCCTTGAAGACTTCCTCTGCCTCCTTGGCCCTCACCTGCTGCTTCGCAACATCCGTCTGCCCCACCTTGTTAATGACCATCGTGGGCCCTCCAGGCGCAAATCGCTCAGTCTCATGCGTGACCCGGATGTCGTGCTCCTCGATCACCCTGTGCACGTGGTGTCGCTGCTTCTTGGCGCCAATGATCAGTCGGAGTGACACCCGCGCCGGGTCCGCGAGGAAATTGTCCAGTTTGCTGCAATCGCCGCAGGTGCAGAACTGCACGAGGTACATGCCGCTCCCCAGCTGGCCAGAAGGCGGACGGACGGACCTCGAGCCGACGTAGTTATCGCGGTAGGCTTCGAGTGCTGCGGCGAAGAGTTGCTGGTAGCGCGGGGTGTCGAGAGGCGTCTTGGTGGCTTCGAGGATGGCGAGGAGCTCGCGTAGGAGCGGAATCCAGAGGACGGGGAAGTCGAGGGCGTGCATTTTTGGGGCGTGGCTGACGATTTTGAGGGCCAGTGGCAGGACTAGGTCCTCTTGTGGAGGGAAGGATGCGAGCTTGATGAGGCCGGAGAAGAGGTCTGCTAGGGCGATGTGATTCAAGGCGAGGCGGTGGTCGGGGGCAGACGGCGCCGTCTGGCCGTATGTGAATCTCGCCGCCTTGTGGGCTGGGTCGTCTTCCCTGGGCCCGTGAACCCTTTCGAGATCGAGCATAGAGATGAGGTCTTTTGCGAGCTTTTTGTACAAGTTGACGGCCAGAGTCACCGGGAAAGCCTTTCGTCTAGCGCATGAGAGCAGCGCTGACAAGAACTCCAGTGCAAACGCTGGCGTCCGTACAAGTAGCTGCTCGACCAATGGCATCGCCCTGGGAAAGAGAGTCAGTCATATGTACGTCTGGCGGTGATTAGGGTCTATTGGGAGATACTTACACAGAGGAAAGCCAACCAAAGTCGGCATATTTCTCAGCGCCCGTCACTAAAGCCAGTCCATCTTGTCGGACGAAGATTGCGGTATCGGCAATGTCCTTGAGGCCTTTGGTGAGCGTTGCTTGTGCCCACTCCCGAATCTCGTCAGACAGGGGCTGATCGGTTGGGGCAAAGGCTTTAACCGCCTCGAAGATCTCGAAGAAATATCGACCCCTGAATACTGTGGAAGTCAAGCTGAAACATCAATAACGTGGTTAGGACGCGAACCTGGAAGAATGGGCTGGATATCGGGGAGAGAACGCACCCGTTTTTGATCTGAGAAAAGTCCGCCTTGCCCTGCGAGACCTCTGCGTAAAGTAATTGATAGTAGTCCGCGGGCAGTGGTCCGTCCAGCCCCTTTTCGGCTTTTTTCTTGCTGACCTTCTCGAAAAAGTCCCAATCCTTCATAGCCAAAGCAGATCGCAACACTTTGCACAGGATCTCGTCTTCAGCCTTTTTGGTACGCCTGCCTGGACGAGGGACCGACGTATCCCATACGTCTTTGAGTGTCTCGAACGATGACTTGCTGTTCGACGAGGCCTTGAGGATCGAATCTGTGAGGTAATCAACCAGTACAGCGCTGTCATGGTAGTGATCCCATCCCGACCTCGTACTAGCTTTGAGGTACGAAGGGATCTTGTCTCGGCGAATGATGAGCGCGGCCTGAGTCCAATATTAGCTAGAAGCCGCGAAGGGAAAGGGGAACAGAAAGCTCACTGTTACGCAGTACCGGTGGGTAGCTGTTGGTCCCTATAGTTCGTCTTTGTTAACATGACGAACGTACCTGCCACTCCTCTGGATCGAAAACCTACCCAGTTGCCCTGATATCCCTCATACTCTTCCTTCCGTTCAACGCCTTCAAAGAACTCGCTAGC